AAAAAAAAAAAAAAAAAAAAAAAAAAAAAAAAAAAAAAAAAAAAAAAAAAAAAAAAAAAAAAAAAAAACAATTTACTTTTAGTCCTCATGCGTTTGAAACACAAAATGATCGACATACCTCTGCATCGATCTTCTTCCCAGGCTTTTGTTGTTGTTGTGTTCAGGGTCTCCAGGACTGATGGTCTGAGCGGCTTCTTCGTTGGCGTACAGGGACGGATGAACGTTTGGAGGGGGTGGTAGGGACAAGGGCGGCGGCGACGGAGTACCCATCGTACCCTGGGGTGAAATCGGGCCGCTGCTGCTCCCGACGCTGCCAATGCGTCCATTGTGCGAATGAGGGAATGTCGAAATGTTACGCGCTGCTGGCGTTGGCTCCAAATAATTCGATTCCGTTGGTATTATTGTCATTCTCGTTATGGGCCTGCAGGAGTTGATGTCGTTCGACATGTCTCTTGGTACCCTGTCGACCGAGTTTCTGTCGTCTTTGTCAGCCTGTTTGATATGAAAAAAGACAAATAAGTAAAACTACAATTGGTAGGGAAAGCATAAAAAAAATAAAATAAAAGTAAACTCAAGTTGTACCAAAATATTCTGTTGCACGAGGTAAAAAAGTTGATCCGCCTTTTCACATTTGAATGCGTAGATGCCAGGTCCGGATTGGCAACGCCTGCCGGCCTCGAAGCTAAATATCTGCTCGTCGTAGCCGTACCGTCTGAGACTCCTCAGAGGCCAGACGGCCAATTTGTTGTTGTACCTGAAACTAATGTCCGCCTTGGTGACTTTAATCGTGCCATCCGTGACGCCGTTCCCGGCACTGTCGATATTGAGGGCTTCGAATATCTTGGAAGCACGATGATCACAGGTGCTCTGGCTGTAAGCACAACCCATCCTCCAGTCTGGGGTAATTCTGAAAGCGCAGCAACACAGTAGGTATGTTAACGCACGATGACACATAAATACTTGTAAGTATTTCGCACGCGGTTGGACGGCTCGCGAAAAAGAAAGTCACGAGGAAAACAAGAGAGTTAATTGGAAAGGAATTTGGACTTACGTGTTACTCGTGGATGGTGATGCTTATATATCATCACGCGCTGCTGCTCTCATACACGGACACTTGTACGTTGTTTGTTGTCGTTGTTTTTTTTTTCTTCAACAATAATATTGTCCTCATGGGTATCCTCATGTCGCGCGTGCGGTGGTACAATAACCCAATGGCTTTCTTGTCAATCTTGTCGTTCCTTATGTTGAGAGAGCTTGCGAGGTATGTACATACACGGGGATATAAACAACTCTCAATTCCAGTTTCGCTTGTCGGATGCTGTGTGCCTATAACGCTGCCTCATTTTGTGGCGTTTGTTGTTAAATGTTGTACGTACGTACGTTAAAAACAAACAAATGATTCCGATGGGTGTTTATTTACACTTGGTTGTGAGAAAAAGAAAAAAAATTTAATATCCATCGGAGCTGGCATTTTGCCGCAGTGTTTTACCCACGAAATCCACAGTACCTATATACACTCTGATGATGCTGCGCCGTGAAGCTTGTCGCGAGAGCTGTTTTTCGAGTAAGTATATATATATACCGAAGTATCAACACCGACAACGATTATGGGTCATTCCACCGAAAACTGTTTCTATTATTTCTTTGTTTTAGTTGAAGATGCACAAAAAAGAGCTAAATTAGCGTCGCGGGCTCCGTGTTTTGCTCGACAGTTTAAAGATTTGACGACGCTTTGAAGCGAAATACGGGTTTTTTTTTTTTATTCAATTTCTACGAGATATACAAAAACAAATTTCATCCAAGACTTGGATGCTGTTTAAGTTGCGGGACCGAAATCTCTAACAAATTCAACATTTCAACGGAAAATGTTCTCAAAAATGCGGGCAATTAAATTTTGGTGTTCCAATTTCGACGTTTTGTATTTTGCGAACGTTGAGGAAGTTGCAGGAATTTTTTCCGATTTTTCCATTCAAATAAGCCAGTGCTACACAGGCTCGCGAATTTGAAAATTCTGTCTCCCTAAAATAAAAAACTAAAGGAATGTCACGTAACTTTTCGAAGCGTTCGGTTATTAACTTGGAAGGTAGTTTGATGCCTCACAATATCGATTTTTCGACGTATTTATAAGAGAACCTGTAACGCTTTGTATCTTTGTTTATATCGACTCGGATGATGATTTATACAAATATTAATGCAATTTTAAATACAAAGTCGAATTTTCATCTACAGTGCACTAGCGCAGTTATCTCCATCATTTCATACAAGAGCCCGTAACGAACCTATTTTTTCAAAATAAAATAAAGTCGTAAAAATTTTCTATTGCAGATTCAGCAGGACCCAGTAAATTTTAGCTTATTTCGGTCACGGACAGTCGAGACCGTACAAAAAATATATTTGAACAATTAAAAATCTATTGCAAGCGTTAGTCCATTTCGAGTTTCGGCCCTTGAAAAATACCGATTTTCGTCGAATGATCCATGTACACCCAAATATCGAGCCGATTGGAGATCTTCGAGTTCGCGGGCTCTCTCTGGTTCTGGCCCTGGCACTGCTCGTCTGCTCTCTGCTGCTAAATTAATGCAACTTCGCACGCGCAGTGAAAACTGTGGTGAAAACACATGTTTTATAACCTGCAACAATTTCTTCCATGTGGGTTGGCTCAACTTTTTTATTGTTTTTCAATTAAATAGTAAAATTGAAGGGTAAAATATGAAGACACCCAAAAAAACCGTGAAGAGGAAACAAAGTCCTAAGAGATCCGAGACCGTTGTTCAGAAAGACAAGGAAAAAGTCCGCGACGAGGCAGAAGACGTTGAGGTAAGTACTTTTAAACATTTGGCTTATTGTTTATTACTTTACTGAATTATAATAGCGTAGTGGATATATCTAGGCAGTTTTTTTTTAATTTCAAATCCAAGTTTTAATAAATAAATAAAAATGTTTAAAATTTAGTTGTAAACGTGGAACTTTTTCTCTAGGATTCTGGAACAGAAGATTTATTGAATGGAGAAATAAGTGGAGAAGGTGACACTACAGACGAAGAGTATGATCCAGAAAATAATGAAGAATCAGATGAAGAACAAGATCAAACTGTATTTACATCGGATGAAGAGGATTCTGCGGATGAAAAATCTTTCACAGAAGAAGAAAGTGAAGATGAAGATAGCGAACAGTTAGAGGACAGTGAAGAAGATGACGATGATGAAAGTGAAGAGGAAAACGAGAGTGAAAAAGAAGAAGAGGAAAATGAGAGTGACGAAGAAAAAAAAGAAAAAGTCGATAAGAAGATTTTAAGAAAGATCGTGCCCAATAAAAATAGTTTGGAAAAAAATGATAACAAAAAATCATTAAATACCAATGTCAAAAAATCATCTAATCAAAAATCTCAGGATGGACCTAAAAAAGCTCTGAGCAAAAATAAAACAGTTGGTGGTAAGAAAAGTTTAGTAGAACCAGAATCCAGTGTAGGTCCGAGTAATACTAGTGTCAATGAATATGATGATCATGATACTTCTGATGAAGAAGATATTAGAAATACCGTTGGAAACATACCTCTGAAGTGGTACGATGATTTTGATCACATTGGTTACAACACAGACGGGAAAAAAATCTTGAAACCTGAGAAAGGAGATCAGTTGGATAATTTCTTGAAACGAATGGAAGATCCTGATTTTTGGAGAACAATAAAAGATTATCAAACTGGACAAGATATTGTTTTAAGTGACGCAGATATTGAACTTATCACTAGAATCCAGAAGCAAAGGATACCTGATGCTCAGTTTGATGAATACCAAGTAAGTTGAACAATTATTTTTTTTTTTATCATTTTTTAAACTCTCATAATAATTTTGTCACCTCACCAGCCGTGGGTTGACTGGTTTTCGTCTCAAGTAGAAAAAATGCCTCTTCGTAAATTTCCCGAACACAAGCGTTCGTTTTTACCATCAAAAACAGAAGCCCAAAAAGTGTCAAAGTTAGTTCATGCTTTAAAAATGGGTTGGATTAAATCTTCCGCTGAAATGAAGAAAGAGAGAAGAGAAAAGAAGCAAGGGCCTAAGTTTTATATGTTATGGGACACTGATGATCAAGCTGAAGAAATGAGGAGAATTCACAAGCACATTCCAGCACCAAAGAGATTTTTGCCTGGACATGCTGAGAGCTATAATCCTCCTCCAGAATACATATTTGATAGTAAAGAATTAAAACAGTGGCACAAGCTCAAATCAACGCCATGGAAGAGAAAGTTACATTTTATTCCTCAAAAATACGATTCTCTCAGACAAGTTCCTGCATATCCCAATTACATTAAAGAAAGATTTCAGAGATGTTTGGATCTTTACTTGTGTCCTAGAGCAATAAAAATGAGATTGACGATTGATCCAGAATCCTTGGTACCACAACTACCAAGTCCCAAAGACCTGCAGCCATTCCCAACAGTTCAGTCTATGATATACACAGGACACTCGGACATGATTAGGTGCGTTGCTGTAGAACCAATGGGAGAATACTTGGCTAGTGGTGGTGATGATCAGACCCTAAGGAGTGAGTGAATTATAGCATTGGTATTTTGATTTCGTATTATGTCGTTATTTCAGATTTATATACTGTTACTATTATTTTTTTTCTCAGTATGGGAAATCGCTACTGGCAGATGTGTGAAAGTTGTAAATTGTGGTGGCATCGTGAGAAGCATTGCCTGGTGTCCAAATCAAAATTTACCGTTGATAGCTGTGGCTGCTGATCAAAAAATTCTTTTAATTAATGCTGAAGTAGGAGACCGCCTTATAGTAAATAAAGCAGATAAACTCTTAGAAATCATCCCACAAAGTGAAGCCATTGGTATTTATTTCTATTATTTATATTTTTATTTCCAATATTTTTATGAAGATAGATAAAATTACTGAAAATACTTTACAGTTCCCGAAAGAGTTAAAACTGCAGTACAATGGGAACAAATAACCGAGAGTGATAATCCAGACTCTTGGAAACAGGGAATAAGAGTTATTTTAAATCATTTTAAAACAGTTAAACAAGTAACATGGCACGGCAAAGGTGATTACTTTGCTTCAGTAATGCCAGACGGTCAAAACAGATCCATCTTAATTCATCAGTTGTCGAAAAGGAGGTCTCATATTCCTATTAGTAAACCCAAGGGACAAGTACAATGTGTTTTATTCCATCCAATCAAACCATTCTTATTCGTAGCGGTAAGTTATAAAAAATGTTTTAGAATTAAATTTGTAGTTGATGATTTACTTTTTTTTGGCTGGCTTTCAGACTCAAAGGAACGTTAGGATATATGATTTAACGAAACAGGAGATGTTGAAGAAATTACTGACAAATTCACAATGGATATCTACCATGTCAATACATCCGGGTGGAGATAATCTTCTTGTTGGCACATATGATAAAAAACTTTTATGGTTTGATTTGGATTTGAGCACAAAACCTTACAAAACTCTTCGTTTACATGGTTCAGGAATAAGAGGGGTAGCATATCATAAAAGATATCCTCTGTTTGCCTCAGGAGCAGATGACAGAAGTCTTATTATATGCCACGGAATGGTTTACAGGTATTACTCGATGAATTAAAATTTTTCAATGTAAAATACAAGTAAAATAGTGATGCAATAGTAAATTTTTTTTTTTTTTACAGCGATTTAATGCAAAATCCTTTGATTGTGCCACTAAAGAGATTAAGCAATCACGAGGCTTTTAATGACTTTGGAATTTTGGATGTATTATTCCACCCTATTCAACCTTGGGTCTTTTCAGCAGGAGCAGATGCGACAATAAGAATGTATACATAAGCGTTTATAGTTAATAAATATAAATTTATTATGGACAAAGAAATAAATAGTTTTTACAAACATGAGTACGTCTTTTTAAAATCTTAAAATTATTTTTTTCAGAAAATTCAGTTTTAAATAAAAATATAGGAACTCGTAAAAAAGTAGGTTCGACTAAAAAAATTCTTTTTAACAAATCCTATGATTAAAAATCACATTAACAAATAAAAGCAGTCGTTATAAAGTCTATTGATCATGATTGAAGACACGTAATGGAGAATGTCCCGAGCACTGCCATTCCGGTTGTCCGCATTCGCACATGCGACCTGCGTGTCGCACTTGAAACACCGTAACTATTTTTCTATCGTCGTCAAACTTACAGGTAATATGAAGATCATGAATTAAAAATGTGTAAAACTGATTCCCATAGCGTTGCCTTAAATAAACAGATCGTGGATCTTCTTTTAAAATATTTTCGACGGCCCGCCTTTTCTCGTCTGCCTTGTCGTTTACAATTTCACGCAATTGTTGCAATGATCGCTCATTGAAAACTACCGACAAAGGCGATACTTCCGGTCTTGTAATCCAATCTGGCACCCTGACATTTTCTTCTACAATACTGTCGTTCGCTTGTCTGCTGGTAGACTGTATACTTGCGTTTGAGTCACCGTCAGAGGTTTGCACACTGTTTAGCTGAGGCAGTTCAAGCCCCTCTTCCCCATCGGGAGCTTCTCGCACGCCCATTCTGATGGGCGAAGACGATGAGGATGAATCGTCAAGTCTTAAACTCAATGCCCTTCTACTAATTACATCTAAGTCCGTCCCACATACTGCGCTTGGACCATCTGCTCCATCCAGCAGCCTTGAATTTCTAAGACTGTGCTCATCATTGTCATTAATTTCTAAACTACCTGTCTCATAACTGATTGGATTCAAATTTGTTCTGTTTGAAATTATCTCGGCAAGTTCGTCATCTTCCAATACATTTGAATTTTGTTGATTATCATACACATTTTCAAAATTCATATTTCTCTGAAACTCCTCAGCCTGCAGTCTCAGAGCAAGTTGCTCATCTCTTGATACATTGGTCAACAATGATGTGGAAGATGATAAAGAGGAAGATACATTTAAAGTTGCTGCATTGTCGTTATGCACTGTTGCTTCATCAGCACTCTGCAGCGCCTTTTCAATATACATTGGATTATCGTAATGAGGAATATACGGTTTTATATCTACAACGGGTGTTTGGTCCACCATGTCAACACCCTCGAAATAAATAACATTGTCTTCCACTTTGATTATTTTAACGAGGCTCAGGCCTATTGGGCATGGTCGGTGAGGCGATCTGGTTGAAAAAACTCCTGTTCTGTTTCCATTTAGCCGAGGGGGAGCAACTTTAGCGCGAATGTGTCCCGGCTCGTTTTTATGAAAGTGGAACAAAATCCTGCAAAGTTCAATAACAAAGAAACGATTTAAAAGTTTTGAAGAGAGCTTTTACGATCTTTATAATATATTATTTGTATCTCCTTACCACATGTGAGAAAACTCCTCTAATCCTTCAAGAGCGTGTTGGGGATTTGTTAAAACATTTTTGAACAGTGTTAATTTACCAGGAACTCTGCCACAAACAACAGGTTGTCGAGGAGTCCCTCGTTTACTGGGAAACCAAGTGGAAATGGTACCAATCGGTTGAATGGTCAAGACTTCATCGTTATCAGTTTTGCTGGTGGAAGGTTCATTGTTTCTTACAATAGTACTGGACAGATCCGAGGGTATAGAGTCTTCAGAAAAGGAAACAAATCCACTTGTGCATAGTCCTAACAGTCTTTTAATACTAATAACATCCCTTTCGTGGACGTAACGAAGACTTTTTATTTGTTGCCTGCAAAGAATATTAAATCATTAACGTTTCAGCAATTAAAAAGTCTGATTTTCAAGGTTATGCATTAAAATCAGTAAATTAATTTGTGATTAAAATGATAATACATCAAATGACTACCAACGCCAATGAGTCATTATTTACCTTAAATTGTTTATTTCCTTTCTCGCTGTGATCAGCTGGTCTAGTAAATATTTTGAATCAGAATCAAAATTCTTCTCACTCTTGCAATTGTCCATCTTTGTATATACCACTGATTATTTCCCACAGTAAGAATATTTATTATCACGAATATCCATGTAAAATACTTAGTTATATACGTGGATATGAGAGCGAACCAAAAAAGTTTTCTTTAAAATGGATGGAGAAATGTCAAATTTTCAAAAAAAAAATTAGACACGTAAAAGCTTAGACAAGACGTTTGTTCATATATACTTACATGAGCTTTTTTTGACACACATTCACATGTGCACAATAAGTAACTCAAGGTTAGAGACACGTAAAAATCAGCATCCATAAACGAAGTAAATAACTAAAAAATTAATTAAATGTAAATTTTACGTTTCATTACGCAAACTGTTTCATCTACACTGATCTACATAAGATGATGCCACTGATTGCACACATATATAATACATTTATTCGATTCAGAGGTTCCGAGAGCTCCGAACCGAACACCCCTACCCAATAGGTATAGCCCAAAGCCCAAACACGCGTTGGTTGCTCCGAGCGCAGTTTATAGATTTGTTCGATTAAGAGGTTCCGAGCGCTCGGAGTGCTCGGAGTGCTCCGAACTCTAGCCCGAACACGCGTTCTTGCTCCGAGCGCTCCGAGCGCTCCAAGTGCACGTGACTCAGGCCGCCTGTGGATAGCCGTGTAAGATCCAGCTCAACGTAATCGCGAGTAAACAAACCGTTTTTTTGTTTTTATTGCATAGTTNAAATACAAAGTCGAATTTTCATCTACAGTGCACTAGCGCAGTTATCTCCATCATTTCATACAAGAGCCCGTAACGAACCTATTTTTTCAAAATAAAAGTAGCGTTTCTTCAGAGCTTCGATCTCGCTGTTGCCCAGGTTCGCGTACGAGTGCCTGGCACACAAGTTTGTGTCATTCAAAATGAGGCACAAACATTTTTTTTCTTTGGTTATTCATATAAATACACGTACTACTACTACCATTACAAAACGATAATCTGCACGCTTCTCCTTTTTTACATATTAAAATATACAATTTCGCTTGCTCACACACACATGTTTTATTATTTTTTTCATTTTATGGCAACAGTTTTTTTAAGTATCACTTTTTTTCCTGATACATCTTTGTTTTTTCCTCTATATGTGTTACTCACAAGTTCTTTATCCTTTTCTTACAATATAAAAATAAAATCTTTACTTTCCTTGCTATTTAATAAATTTTTATACCATTTATGCTGACATAAATTTTTTAAACAACTTTTTGTTGTTACTATTAAGAGCAGTGTGGGTTTACATGAAACCTTTAAGTATCTGTCAGGTCTGTATCTTAACTTATAAACTAAAAATATGACGATTTTATGAGATGCTATGTAATCGCAACTCTAAGCATTTGTTGCGATTTCACGTTGCCACACACCTTCGTTGTTAATATTAATGCCATCACCAGTGAGTACTTTCGATTTTTTCCACACATGCTTATTCAAATTTTCGTAATTATTTTTTGATACATATTTTTAGTACAAATAGTTTCAAGCAACTCAAGTTCTAATTTTTAGTTTTTTTTTTTTTTTTTTTTTTTTTTTTTTTTCGTTGTGCGC